TTTTCACTTGCACAAATATTTTGGCCCGTTAATATAGTACAACACCAAACCACATTCCCCAGGGCCCAAAATACATTTCCATACAACACAAAACCCATAATGCAAGTGGATCAAGAATATATTATCCTAGTTGGCAATATCATAAACTAAATACACATATCAAAATATAAAAAAAGGCCTACAGAAGTGATTATTATCACTCGGCCTAATGCTCCTTTCCTCTGTTATTCTGAGATGAGCTAACTCTTGTAATATGTTAAAAGAAAGGGGTGAGTACAACCACTCAGTAACCAAGGTACATCTAAGTTATATAAATGCATGGTAATTAATCATGAATACAAGTGGCTAATAAGTTTATCAAGGTGACCATGTAAAAAATCACATTAGTAACATGTTAATCATAGTAACATCTAACTCATGTGAATAATCTCAAGAATAAAGTCAAGTTCAAAGTTTGCATAAATGGCCACATATACATTATTTGCATAATTACTACATGTTTTTATTTCCACAATTATAATCATATTCTCAACATAACCATCAATCACTCAAATGACATAATAATAATAATATACATGATCAATCTCTTCCTTATATCCCCCTTATTTCCTCTGACATGAAATCCGTGGGCCAACAACTGGAAGGGATCATCCATGTGGTAAGACTACCAAAGCCTTAATCATATCGTGAGGAGCTACTGGGCCAGGGTTACCTTACTCGCTTATGAACACAGTTTCCCCAAATCACATACTATGGGATGTCATACCCAAAACTAACTCTATCTAAAAACTCCAAGTAGGCCAGTTGGGTTAAGTTCCTTAATAGAAACCATTGCTACAGTACCTTACGAGGTAAGTAGTGGCTATAACCCTTAGGATTATTGGTTAATAGCCAAGTACCATATGGATTTTGCATAACCGCTAACTCCTTCACTAAGGCAAACTCCCGTCATAGATGATCATGCTCATGAGAAAATGCATTTCAAAAGCTCATATATACAATTCACAATTGTCCCACATACTCATCAACTCTCTTGCTTAACAAACATCAAGAATCATCATATTTCAATCATGCCCCTTGCATCAATTTTATATTATCATATAAAATCACATTTACATCATATAAACTCAACATGCTCATATATAATTCATCTATGCATAATTCACAATTTATAATCAAGGATGTACACATCATCATCAACCATCAATCTCCGTATTCACACCAAGTCACAATTAACTTGGTCACAAAATCATAGAGTCTTAACAAGCTAAATGCATTACAAACAATCAATTTCAAAATTTAGATATATATATATTATATATATATCTTTTGTTTAACTAACATAATTATTAATATACAAATGCATAAAATAGATTTTTTCCGGTTACCTCAACCTTTGAGAGGTCAAAGGTTACCGCTCAAGTTACAACACTTTCAAAATTTTCGAAAGCTTGAATGGTGTCAAAAGGAAATTAATCTATAATTGATCATATCCCAATGTGTGTTAATAATATTATTAACACAGTTTTCACTCACACTCTAACACCTAAGTATTTATTTTATTTTATTTCATTTTTTAAGACCTTAGTCTAGCCTCTTGAGTTCTAAAATTTAATTTTATATATTTGAACCTATCTATTAGTTCAATAGTCTCATTCACAATATTTCATTCATATAATTTTCTAATATCAAAATTTCCCTTTTTATTCCAAAAATTCGCACATAAAAATACTCAAAAATTGCAACTTGATTTCAAGCCTAGAATCATTATTCTTAGCCATAATAATTTATTTTTCATCTCAAATAATCATCTAAATATCAACAAATTAATTTATATTTTCAGATTTAACTAAAAATCTATACATAGGGATCTAGGGATAAGCTCAAATGCCTCAAATTCCAATTCTATCAACAAAATAATACTCTAGAATATATTACACTACCAACAATCTTAACAACTAGATTTACTCATTAAAAATTCATCTCTCTTTCAAACCCTAGATTTTCTAAAATCTCAGAATCTGCAGCTCAAAGGGAAAAAATGACTAAGAAAAAAAAATTTTTAAAACACTTACCTAGTCTTAGAATACTTAAAATCTCATCTGAATTATCTTATTATGAAGCATCACCTTCTAAATCAGCTCCATCAATGACACACACCTACTTTGTATCCATTCTCTCTGTCATGTGCGAAGAGAAATGAGGAAAGTGAAGAGAAAATGAGATCAGAAGGGTGACTGTGTTGTTTTGAATAATAAAAAAAAGGTGTGGGGTCTCACGTAATAATTCACACCCTACTCTTTTCTTTGTTTCTGCAATGCACACACATGAACGAAACTCATCCGCCTCCCTTTCTCTTTTTTTTTTACATTATTTAACCACCTTAACACCCCGCAAAAAAATAAAAATTACTTCCCTCCACCTCTTCAATTTTCCAATTTTTTTATGTTCCTTTTCCTTCTTCTTTCTTTTTTTTTTTGATTAATATATTATCATTACATTTCTATTTACTATAAAATCAAACTTAGGATTTAATCTAAATTAAATCCAATAATAATCATCTAACTAAAATTATTTATATCTAAATATTCCTCCAAAATCACTCATTTGCTCTAAATTAACTAAATTAACCTTAGGTTAAATTTTGGGATGTTAAAAGGGGAATCTAAATTGGACTATTAGATTGAATAATGTGAGATTAAAATTATTTTAATTTGCTAATAGGATAAAAATATATCCATTGGATATATATAATTGTATTAGAGTGAATTTGTGCTTTTGTGCATCTTGAGTAATTGCATTGAAATAGCATTTTTATAGGTGTAATTAATTGTAAGATTACTATTCTTGTTAATGCTTTGGATTAACAAACTAAAATTAAAAGTACTATAATTGGGTAATTGTATGCTCTATAAATTGAAGGAATTGGCCATTTGGGTTCCCTTGACTATTGTAGTTGTTGAAACTTTAATTTTAGTGCATTTTTATAAATTCAAGTTTATTTGTGAAATCCAAATTTGTTTTGCTCAATTTAAATAAAAATGAGAAATTTAATACGTAATTACCGATTAACCTGATTCTTTGTAGGAATAACCTTGATTTACTATATACTATTTTTATGACCTATACACTTGTAGAAATCATTACATTCTTTTGTGGATCAACATGCGGGCCCTACAATCATTTCATGTCAACAAATAATAGAGAAGATTGCGGTTTCTAATGGAAGAGAGTTTGGTCTTGAAAGAAATCTTTTAAGAGAGATATTGTACCACTCTTTAGTACCTAAAGCTCCTCAAAAAAAAAATTAAAAGGAAAAGGGTTAAAGGTCAAATATGTCCTTGAAGTATACATGTGTCACACCCCAAAAATAGAGGATGACCAGCATGGGTGTGAACCACTCACACATTCTCATAAGCCTCAGAATGAAAAATTTACTCCATTTTTTCAAAAGAAAAGAAAGAAAATTTATCAAATTACATGAGAATAAATAATTCTTTTAAACTATTATCATAAGAAAGTGTCGACATTTTTGTAGAAATTTTGGCATAACCTTCCCTGTAAATAGGATCTCTCGAAAATTACTACAAAAAATTTTTACAGATGACAATATAAATTAGGAGTGTAGCTCCTTCCAGCCACACAACCAAATATAGACCAAAAATAAGGTTTATCAACAACCTACGTGGAGCATATCTACTCTTTCTTTCAAATCAAAAAGACATACAAATTATATATTTACATAAAAGAAACAATACCAATCAAAAGGTCCACCCACTGTAGCTAGTTTCCTTTAGAGGTCGATGGGGGGGATCAGCGTTAGCTAACAATTTTGAGACCAAAATAATTTTTTATTGAATAGCATTCCCATGGTAAAATTCTTAAAATTTTAATCAACAATCTCTAATAATGGTGTCAGCTAGGTTAAAAGCAATTCCACCAAAATTTATAAACATGTAAATCATAATTATATTTATAAAATAAAGAGTAAATTGAAAATAATTTATGTTATCATGCTTACAGAAAACAATCTGCTCACATAAAACTCAAAGTGATACAAATTGCTAGCCAAAATCATGTAAATTTCAAAAACACATATTAATCAACATTTAAAATCTTAAGAACTCAATAGAACAGGTTACAAACTGGACACTCAGTCCATGAGGGTAAATAACCAAACGCGGCTTATGCCACGAAAACAACGTGGACACATCAGTCCACGAGGGTAAGTAACCAAATGTAGCCGAAGCTACGAAAAAACATGGACACACAGTCCATGAGGGTAAATAACCAAACGCGACTCAAGCCATAAAATCAAATACAAGTACAAAGCCCACGAATACCAAACATGAGAATAAAGCTCATGAACAAACTAGCTAATGTTTAACCACAGCGCGCTATGGGCTAACAGGACTACCATTAACAACAGTGTTCTGTTTTGAGTTCTCTTTAAATCACACTTCAAACATGCGAGAAAAATAATTATCATTGAAATAAATTATTATTCTTACTACCAAACTCACATGAATTGTGTCAAATCTCAACATTTGTCAAAATCATAAATTTGCATTAATTGAGTATCCAATAAATTTTAAAGTTTAACAACCATACAAGATGCTTCATCAAACTTGGAAATATATTTCAAGAATCAATAAATGCACATATCATAACTCATTGTCTTTCATTAATATTTCATAATTTCAAAATTAATATAATTCATAAGAATAAATATTTCAGGAAGAGACTATTAAAATAAAATATATTAAATGGGATACTTCACTTACTTGTCGGAGTTCCAAATTGTAATGACCTTAAGTTAAAAAAAATTAAAATGAATTAATTTCATTTAGTTTAAGATTTGTAGAAAAATTACCAAAGTGTTCATGCTTTTTATGTTATTAGAAGAAATATTGGGCCTTCTCTTGTAATTTTTGCAATCTCCTATGGTTTATATTTATATCCTCCTACTCAGTCAAACATAGTGGAACGCGTGATTTCTTCCCTCTTCTCCTCCTTCACATTTTCAAAAAATCTAGAACCGCCGCCGCTGCTCTCTTCGATCTCAGTGTGTCCACAACGTTCTCCATCCTTCCTCTTCAGTCTTCAAACATCGCTAGCGTGGGAATGCTAGAGTGTTGTCGTCCGATTGTTGCTGTCGTGAGTTTCCCTCTCCCCTGTGCTGCACCAATTTTTCTTTCCTTTTCCTTCTAGAGCATCACCCTTCCTACTTCACTCAGCTGACAGCCACAAGTATTGTGTCAGAGTTATACTCGCGCAACTTCTCCTTCCTCCTCTGTCCGAGCAACAGGTTGGATGCATCAGAATTATTCCCCCTATTCTATCATCGGCCTTCTCTATTCGTGCAGCAGCAGTGCCAGATCTTTCCCCCATGTCTCACAGATCATCATAATTCCTCTTCACGGTACTATTATGATCTGTGTAATAGAGCTGCAAATTCTTTCTTTTCAGATCTCCCTAATTTGTGAGTATGTATTGATTTATCCTCTTCTTTTCCTTGTGTGTCCTGATTGTGTGGGTGATTATATGGCTGAAATTGTGATTTTCTCTTTATTGTTTGTTGCTGTGCGTGAATGGATAGAGTGGGGGTTCAAAATTAGATGAGGTATGTTTTAAGAAGGTTCAATTGATTATTTGGTGAGTGTAAGAGGAGGAAAATGAATATAGGTTTGAATTATTTGAGCTTAATTGATTCTTAGTGGGATGATATATACATATATATGGGATAAATTCAAATGTTGATTCTGAGACTTATTGGGCAAATAATTAGAGTTAAGAAACTTCATTTAATGGCTTGGCAATATGCACATAAGGTGTTTGACATAAGGCTTAAGAGGAAGTTAAAACTCAATGGAGTCAATACATTTGATTAAAGTAATATAGAGAAATCTTAGGATATAAATGGAAGCTAGGGAATCCTAAGTTACTTAAGTTTCTTTTGATTATAGAAATATTGAAAGGGAACTTGTTTGATTTGAACAAAGGCAATAATTTTTATAGGATTTGGAGGAAGAGAAATTTGAAAGGAATTTTAAGGGATAAAAATTAAGGAATTATGAAAAAGATGTTGATTGATAGTTTAAAGATCAAGTTTGTTGTTCATATAGTAACTCTTAGGACACACAAAAAGTATTTGATGAAAGGTTTAAAAATAAATAAATAAATGGGGTCAAGGCAAGTAAAAGAAAAAAAAAAATCATAGTATAAGTTATCTATTTTTTTAAGACTTGAAAATCTTGAGTATGGTTTATATAGGTATGCTAGATGTTTATTGATTAAACTCAATAATTGATTTTATTGTGAATGGTGACAGATTAGAGATTTTTCTTTTCTATTTCTTCAAATTATCTTGGATTGAAGATTTTGGATTTGTGAAATGTATAAAGAAATAACAATGTTATGACTTGGGTGTTAGGGATTTAGAAGCAGATGATATTATAAAAGCAATTGGTTAGGAGTAGCTCATGTGCTTGGGAATATCTTAGGTAAGTGAATAGTGTCCTAACTGATTTTTTCAATCAAAATTTCCTTTACTAAAATATTATGTTTTTCTAGAAATCATTTTAATAGCATTAATGCGATTATTGGATATTTGTTAATTAACTTTACTTTATTGTGAGAAATTAGCTTTATCAAATTTGAAATGTTATTTGATCAATTAAATTAAGTGTAGACTTTAATTATGAGATTTTTTATTATATCAAATATTGGATTGATATAGAGAATGATTCATGCGAGTTCGACTTTAAAATTTTTTTGACTATTCAATAAATGCAAGTATGAGCATTGGATATGAAATTTTATTCTAGCAAGTTTTTAATACTTAAAAGTATTCATGTGAGTTTAATTTTGAGAATGAGAATTGTATCTTGAAATTGATGATTTTCTCGCATGTTTGAAAATGATTTTAAAAAAGGACGTTATACAAAACACTGGTTGCTAACAACAGTTCTGTTAGCCCTTGGCGCGCCATGGTACACCTAGCTAGGAGGGTGTTTATAAGAGGTGCTAGCCCCGTGTGATGGCCAATGCACGTGAAACAGAGGGATGTTATTCGTGAGCATCATACTCACGTTTGTTTCATGGCTTTAAGTCACATTTGATTAGCATTACCCTCGTGGACTGTATGTCCACGTTTGTCTCATGGTTTCGACCGTATTTGGTTACTTACTCTCGTGGACTAAGTGTCTACGTTTGTTTTTGTGGCATAAGCCGCATTTGGTTAGTTACTCTCGTGGATTGTATGTCTACATTTGTTAATTATTCTGATAAGTCCATATAGTTATGAATCCAATCATTTGATGATTTCATATTCTATTGGCTTTTATTTAGAGATTTGTTTATAAATTTTTATTTCATTTATGTATTTTCTTGAAATCAACTGATATTATCATTTGCTATGATAGTTCAATAATTTGAGATTTTATTTGAAATTTATAGAGCCATTTTATTGTGAAGTTTATTAAATTTTTATGAAGATTTTGCCTATTTAACTTACATCACTATTTCAAACTTTTCATTTTATTTATGTTCTATTGTTTATTGTTGGGACGTTATGCACTAAAAAATTATTTTGATCTCAAATATCTTAGCTAACATTGATCTACCTATCAATCCTTGAGCACTTATAGACAGGTGGAGGATTGATTAAAATTTTTCTTTTAATGTAATTATAAACATTTATATATCTTATTTTTGTTTTATTTTATTTTGGAAAAGTATGATTAGGTGCTCCACATAAGTTATAACTAGGACTTTTATTTTGATTTATATGTTGTCTGTCGACTGGAAGGAATTAAGCTCCTGATTTATTTGATATTTTAATTGCATCAATGTATTGTAGAAATTTTAAGAGATTTTATTTACAGGAGTGGTTTCATTGAAACTTTTATGAACATGTTGAAAATTTTGTTATAATTATTAGTGTCAAAAGTGTTATAATTTCAATATAAATCTAATTTAATTTTAAAAATAAAGTGAATTTACGACTTAAGGCTTATGGGGATGTGTGAAATGGTTCACATTCCGTGCCAGTCGCTCTCTAAATTTTGGGGCGTGACACAAATTCCCAAAGATATTCTTCTCTTATTCCTTGTCAAGTTCCTTTTCTCCTACACACCCTATAAAAATATATATATAAATCAAATAAAATTTTCATAGATTTTTGATCTTAGTACAAATTTCAATTTAACCATCATCGTTTAGAATTCAAAGCCCAATTTATGATTTAAAATTGATCTAAATATTATCACTCATTCTTATACTTCCATTTAATTTAAAACATTCCCTTCTACGCAGGCATGTGTAGTCACAAGGAAGAATGAATTTCTGAAATTTCAACCCTTAACCCACGTTTACCATATATTATCACTAAGTTCATATGGATTGCTAACTTAAATTTCAGTCTTCTCCTCTCTACATAACAGTATAAGCAACAGCAGAAAATATGATTGCCGTGACCATACATATCAAGTAATAACAGCAGCGCATACCTATTAACTTTCTGCATTTTCACGTCCACACACAGCAGTCATATTTTGATCTCTTGACCTCACGCGCATAGCAGATTAACAATGAAAAAGTTCAACACTTCTCACCTCAACTTGACTGGCTAAATGGCGGTGAACAGATAGAGAGGAGAAAAGGAGGCTCTTGAACACAGAAAGGTGAAGAGGAAGAACAGAATACGGCTAGCAACTAAGAAGAGAAACTGAATCAGCAACAACTGGCCAAACTCACGACAGTACCTCCAGCAGTAACTTCAACACGATAGCACAATCAAAGTAGAAGACGAAGGAAAATAAAACAAAGACAGGGAACTCAGAAGACAACCGAAGCAATTCAAGGCAGCATAAGTATCTAACTCCCTCTGACAATAATCACCAGTGATAGTAAAAGGGAAAGAAGATCTAAATGCTCACACTTGCACCTGGACAAAGAAGGGAGAAGAAGCTCAATAATCTAAATAAAGAAAAAAATAGAGTACAAAGGTCACGGGTTGACTGACCAACGACAGATTGATGACTTCTAATATTTTATTAAATTTATTAGTATTTTTAACATAATTGGAAGTCATTTATTGAAATTTTGTTAGCAAAAATATGATTAAAAATATGAATGTGTATGAAAATGGGCTTGGATGTAAGTTGGATAGTTAGTGGACCAATTTTATCATTTATTCTGGATTTTATGCACGTAGGAAGGCCCAATTTAGGGGCCTAAAGAAGAGAATTTTGAAGCCCAAGTCAAAGAAATTAAAGCTAAAAAGAAAATCTGAACAGGTCATGTTCGCTGCAACAAAAACGTGTTTTGCTGCAACAAAGCGTGACTTTAATAAAACGCACAGTTTTGACTCTCAGCGAATTTTTAAGGCTTAAGGCACCTCATATTAGTTCCAGTTCATTTTCAACCAACAATTGCACGTCCAGGGAGCATTATAAGGTGGAGAAAGAGTTGGAGAAGCTTAGGGAACGCTTAGGTCTTGTGATTTGTGACAGAAATCATCCTTCCTAAGCTTTTTCTCCCTTTTCTCTACATTTTGATGTATCTTTTGCTGAATATTATTGGTTCATGCTGTTTTAATAGTTGTTATTGGCTGAACACATTTGACCTAGAGTAACTATAAACTTGTTAGTGGATTAGAACTTGTTTTTACCCATTGGTTATGCTTAATGTTAATTTTGGTTGTTCAATCTTGCATTAATTTATCTATTTAATGTTTGGCCATCATTAAATATAAATTTGGGTGTTGGTTTTCCTTGACAAAGGGGAATCTCATTTACACCTTTAAATTGAGTAATATAAGATTAGACTATGATCTAATTTGTAATTAGAATAGAAATATAACTAATTGCCTCATATAATCAAATTAGAATGAATTGGAATTCAAGTTGCCTCTTGAATAATTTTGTTAGAAATAACATAATTAATTTGAGAGAGGATTATTGAGGTTCGAAAGACCTTTATAGCCATTAATGCTCTAGATTAACAAAATTAGCATTAAAATTAATTAATTGAGTAAAAAGCAAGATCTATGAAGCTAGTAAGGGATTAGTGACTCTAGGTTGCATTGGACATTTGTGGTTGTTGGATTAGGAATTTCATTGCATTTTATTCATTTTACTTTTTAATTTTTGCTTAATCAATTGCTTCTAATTGGTTTTGCTTAACGTGAACAAAAATAGAAACTTTATTGTCTAATTGCTATTTTGCTTGATTCCTTGTGGGATCGACCTTGACGCACTACTATATTGCACTTTGACCCATACACTTGCAGTGAAACATTTTGTGTGCATCACAGATAGAGTAGGAACAAGCATACTGGCAGTAGTAGCGGCTGAAACTGAAAAGAAAACAGCAAGGATTTAGAGAAGGAAGAAAGAGAAGGTTCAGCATGCTCTTTAATAGCACCAAGAACAGAAGAGGGAGCAAGTTGCAGTTCAAGGCCCGCATGCACACCAACGACGTCACAGTAGGGAAGAAGGAAGCCATAACCCAATCAACCGGCAACAGTGGACAAAACCTCTATAATCACTAAGATCCAATGACTGCTGGAGACGAAGGAAATGAAATTTTTAGACCTAAGATCCCTCTTGCTCTCTCTCCACCGACTCTCTCTCTCTCTCTCTTTGCTCCAGAATCCTCGCCGAAGAATGAAGGAAGAGTTTAAAAAGATCTTATTGTAATAAGGATAGTTTGGTGATTTTACAAGGCAAATCAGCAAAGGAAAAAAAAAGAATTCCTATAGGCTCACTACAGTTCAAACTTGGGACCAAATGGAAGTAATCCAGCACAACTACCACTACATCAGCTTCCTCTATTAGCATAATTGTCTAAAGATTTAATATAAACAAACGTAAACAAATTATCATATATATATATATATATATTAATTTATTTTATAAGGGTTATCACAACATGAAGAGTCACAAATAATCCTAAACTCAACTATGGATTATTTATATCTCTCAACTTTAAAATTTTGTTACTCAATGCTCTTACTGTTAAGGGGGCTAACAAATCTGTTAATGGACCCTATTTTTTGCTCACTAGACTTTTCTTAATATTTTTTAAAAATAAAATATAATGTGGGACTCACTCTATATTTTTTTATTATATAGTTTTTGCTCCTCAACCCCCCGACTCTCATCTCATCTCATCTCATCTATCCCTTCCCTTTTGTCAACCTCTCTCCTCTTTCTCCTCCCTGCCATGACTTTCTTCTTCAAGTCACAAAGAAAAATTTAAAACTCTAATCCCAACCTGGCAACTCAAACGAGGATGAAAGGAGCTTCACCAATGAACTAAGCTTAACTAGAGGGCTAGGCAAGGAAAGACAGTCATTCGCGGTGGCACCAGTAGCAAGAGCCTCAAGGCTCAAGAATACCTCGTTGAAAAGAGGCACCATAGAGGGCAAACAAGGAAGGAGAAATTGGAGTACATAATGGCCTCCTCTATTACCAAGTGACTCAATCCAAGTATGTGACCAACCTAGTACCTGATCACCGCCAATTCCAGGTCCATTTCATCAATCTTCATTGTGTCCTTACTTAGCAACACCCACTTCTCACTCGGCACCACCATTGGGGACTCACACTCTCCTGTACACATCACCAGCAAGCTCTCTCTTCTCTCATTGATTACATTCAGGAATATGCCACTCGCAAACGAAGCTGTGGTCGGAAATGACATCAGAGAATGACTTGTTGACTAACTTTTAACTATATGATTTCATGTAAAATCAAGGAGAAAAGATTGGAGATTAGAGGTTATCAGTGCACTCAGTAAGCTCATAGGAGGTTGGAGGTTGTCATTGCACTCAATAAGCTCATCGGAGGTTGGAGCCATGGCCACCCATAGGAGACAGTGAATACATGGTGAAGATTGGAGGAGCGTACATCGTTAGGAGTTTTTTCAAACTAGAGAAGGTGGGAAGAGAGAGAGAGTGTGGCTGTTGAAGATAAAAGGAGGGAGAGAAGTTGGTAAAGGCACTGGCAAAGAAGGAGAGAGAGGAGAGGGGGGAGAGAGAGACGAGAACATTATAATGAAGAAGGGGAGTCATGAGTTGCAGAGGCACCCTAATATCAATTTGATTTTCGCAAAATGAGAAATTGAAGTCATATAAATACACTAAAATTTTTAGGTTTCAACAATCACAAATAATTAAAGCAACATAAGGTAGTTAATCCCTTCTTTAATTCATGAGCATGTAAGTATCCAAATAAATTCACTTAATATCAATTTGTTAATCTAAAGTATTAATAAGAATAATTATCTTCCGATTAATCATTCTTCACTCTTAAATTAATACCAAACTTCCCTTTCCTCAATTTCATTTTCCAAAGTTTTCTAACGTCCGCATTTGAAATAATCCAATGCTCCAGTCATAGTCATTCAACAGAAGGAACTTTAAACCCAAAGGAAATTAAATCTATCCATCTTCCTCAGACACTTAATACTAGAATTTCAATTTAAATCAATTTCTCCTCACTACTCGATCAAGCACAGCAACGCAAGGAAGGCTAAAAATGTCAATAATTAAACATTCAACCACATACAGCAGGCCAGGAGTGAAGAGGACTTGAAGCTTCTATACCTTAGGTTAACAATGATGGAGAAGGGAAGAAGTCAGAACTTATGGCTGAACAAGGGAGGGAAATATGGCACGACACATGAAAGGAAAGGAGAACAGAGCCAACAAAGCCAGACCAAGTAGCATAAAGACTCACGAGTAGCACCTCAGTTCTGGTGATTCAGCTCCCACCCGCCAGCAACGACGCAACTGTGAATGGAGGAGACAGAATAGAGAACAGGGAAGACGACTCTGCAACGGCAACGACAAGAACACTGCTGTCACCGGCGATGAGATAGTTGACGAAGACGAAGACGAAGACTATGAACAGGGATGTTCGAAGCTACTGGAACGAAAAAATTTCAACCTCTCTCTCGTCGAAAATGCTAAAAGGATTGAAGAAGATCCGATTAAGGTGGAGGGTATAACAGTAATTTCGCCACAGCCTAGAGTAAATCAAAATTCCTGCCTGCCTCGTCCATGGTTTCGAAAACAAGGGCTGCTAATTAAATACCAAGAAAAATTCCACTATGCCACAATACCCCAGTAAAGCGGAAATATAAAATATAATAAATTTATCTTATTATTTATTCTAACTTTATAATTCAAGTTATTGAAACCTGATTGGGTTCTAATACGTTGAGGATTTGTGTTTGATTTCGGTTTTTAGAAAGAGTAAAGATCTCATGATGGATACTTTGTCAATATTGTTGTAACCACTCTTTTGACTTGTTAGGATACATATAAGCTCTTGTAATTCAATTTATTTAAACCATTAAGTTGCTAAGCACAAAACAAAAGAAAAGGCATAAATTCTTCCTTCGTTTTAAAAAAAAAAAATTCAACACAATGACTTTATTTCAAAGCATTTCAAAAAAAAAAATAGAATCATACAAGACTTCGCAGATTTCACAATTATAGAATAAAGAATGAAGACATTATGAACAAAAACAATACAAGAATATCTTAAAAAGAAAAACTGTACATTCTCGCCAGCTACTTTCCTTTTCTTAACATAAAAATACGGAGCAATGATTTTATTTCAAACTATTCAAAAAAGACAAGCATCATACAAGACACTGAAAATTATACAATTAATAAAGAACAAAAGAATGAATGAAGAGATTATGAATAAAAAGAATACAAGAATATGTTAAACGAATTTCCATGGTCTATATCCTTGGGAAATTGAAATCAACATTTGGGCTTGTCCAGTGGCGGTGGTAGCATCTGTTCGTCTGGATTGTTACCATTCTTCACGATGAAAGTCATAGCCATTCCCCACGTCACATGACGCTCTAAATGACAATGCATGAACCATACACCTGCATATCCACACCAAATTGAATCAATGTATAAGATCTAAAAATATAATCTTTTGGAAGAATTCAAATATTTCCTGTGGAGTGAATGCATGTAAAATATATATACCTGGATTTTTAGCGGTGAATCTTATGGTGACCCAGCCATTTTTGGGTATGGTCACAGTATTTTGAAATGGAGGATCAACAAGATTGTAATTCCAAGGATCCTTGTCTTTATCAAAATTCCCAAATCCCCAACCCACCACATAGAAACTATATCCATGCAAGTGAATAGGATGTTCTGTTCCGGCAAGCACATTAGTTCCCTGAAGAACAAGCTCCACCGTGGACCCATACTCAAGCACCTTCACCTCCGTGTCCACCGATGGAGTCCACAAGAATTGAGGCAAATCATTGCCTGTAAAATCAAACTTCAACGGCGGTGTGTCAGGAAACTTGTCTCCATAAACACCACTAACGTTGTTATAATAAGCCTGCAAAATGTTAGCACCAGCAGGCAATTTGAAGCTTATATTGTTCATACTAGCAGCGAGACGATCCGGATTACTGTCTGCTAAGTTTATATTGTCGGTGCATGTTGAACCATTCTGACATGGTAACGTGTTGACAGAGACTGTGTAGAAAAGCCTGGTGCTTATTTCTAATGGCACATCAATGGGGTGATTCTTGTCTGCTAAGCTTCTAAACTGGCTCAAGAGCTTGGTGGAGGCAACAGTGTCGTTTGAGTTTGGAAGCAAGGGCATGGAAGGGACTGGTGAGGTTGAAATGTACCTGCTTCGTTTGTATTGAAGGATAGCAGTGGTGTTTGAGGGGTTAAATGAGACATTATTAGCAGAACTGGAATAAGCCTTAGCAGCCATGTAGTAGCGACCTATTGGTTGGTTTGCTTCAAGCAAGACATCCATAGTTTGACCAGGTGAGATAGTGATGTAATCTGTTTCCACTGGCTTGATGTAGCTTCCATCTGTCCCTACCACTGTCAGTTTATGGTATGCAATGCCAAAGAATAGGACTTGTTCCAGTGCAGCATTGACAATTCGAAGGAGGTAGGTTTTGCCATGTCGAACGTTCAGCTTGAATGTTTCTGACATGAATAGAAAATAACAAATATTATATTACAAATTATTAACTTCTACTGGCATAAGAAGAGAATCAACACATAGAGATAAAGTTAATCAAGAAGCAATTATATATAATATTTACCAGAATTTGAGCATGGGTAAAGGTCACCAGGTTGGCCATTAATGGTGTAAGCATCAGACAACACGGGGTCTCCTCCACTTCTACGAAAGTCATTGTAAACCTGAACAATATCTTGTTTCCACCATTCTCCTGCATTTTTTTACACGTCACATATATAATTAATATCACTTGTATGTCTTGAAAAACTTGAGAGCGAATATATGAGTCTGAAGTCTAGTTCTCAAATAAATACCCAATATAATGGGAACTTCTGCATGAGGTTTCGAGAATGGATAGGTAGTTCCTGGCTTAGGCTTGATGACAATAGCGCCATGAACTGTGGCTCGAGAATAGTCACTGTGAGCGTGCCACCACAGAGTGCCTTCCTCTTCAGAGAATATGACCTTCTGGCTAAACTTGTGACCTGGTTTTATGGGACATTGAGTGATAAATTCGGGGCCGTCTGACCATGGATATCTTGGTTGGTTCACTCCATGCCTGTGAAAGATAGGTAAATTAAATTTCAAAGTTAAGGTTCAAACAAATTAGTTGAAGCTTAGCATTATGTTAACTGATAGAGAATTAAAAAAAGTGTGGGAGTCTTTGGTTTATATCTGATTAACGTACCAGTGGATGGTGATGCTCTCGTTGGCTCGGTTGTAGACATCAACAATTATGGTTTCGCCTTTGGTAACGTACAAGGTTGGTCCTGGAAATTGCCCATTTACTGTCAATATGTTCTTGGAGCTACAAAGTCTTGTGTAACATGCTTCTTTCACCTGCATTGAATCAAACACAAGGGCCATGAGATGCAAGTTAACATGTTTATATTGTATTCTATATAATCTCATTATATTTTTGAGAGTTAGGAGTATTTCAACATATATAGTAAACTGAAGTATTATCATAATGAAACATACGTACCTCAAAAGTATAATGCCTTAGTGCATGAGAAACGAGGAGGTTGTTGAGGAACAAAACTCCTAATATTTGTAAGAGGAATGTTACTGAAATTTTCATGGAAACTCTTGAAGAGTTGGTCTCCATAGATCAGTAATTTTTATGATGCTATTTGTCGCTTCAAGAAATTGCTCTCGTCCTGCTGATCAATGCTTATGTTGGGAGCTTGAAGAGAAAAGCTTGATATATGTCTCTTTCTTGAGGAAAGGCTTGATATAAGTGGATATGTTTGTGTTTGATTGACGTTTGAAGATGGTGGCCATACATGCAGGTATATATATATATATATATATATGTAGTTTTGTGAGAGGCTTTGACATGAACACGATGGTTACGCGTAAGACTACTTTTCAAATTGTGTGGCTTGTTCTTTTCGCCTTTATTATTTTGGCCAAGTCTTTGAATTATATATTGCCAGGTCTTTATTGAAATATTCTTTCTGATAAAACTTGTCACTTGGTCATCACAGAAACTAGCTGCTCTATCAAATAGTTTGTTGTTTCAGGTTAGCTTACAGTGGAAATTGCAATATAATTGTGGATAACGAGTCAAAGTTGAAGAAGTTTACATACTGTGGATGTTTCTTAATGGATATAAGAACAAGTTCATGGTTTGGTTTAAAATATGAAAAGCTGGGTCAACTCCTTTGAATGTTTCTTCATTTATGGGCTGATTATGTGAAGCCAGCTAAATTCATTCATTTCTTAATTAGCACTCACTCCACACCCCCCCCCAAAAAAAAAATCAGGTGTATAGTAGAACAGAAAAAAACTTGTAAGAATTGATATAGTTACATAATAAATTATGAAAATCCAAAACCTACAAATATAGAAAGTCAAAGGCTAAATAAATATACTAAAGCTTTAAAATTGCGATACGGTCAACTTTTTTTCTTAAAAAAAAAGTTAATATTCCAAAGGAGCAACAGCCAAGATTCTTTTCAATCATTACATTTATCTCGTAACACGTTTCAATTTGAATTAAGAATTTGGCGTACAAATATATTAATTAGCTTAGTATTATAGATTCGTTAGTTAAATTTAATAATATTAAAAGCGAAGGACATATATTAATTATATTTGTTCATCTTTCGCTTTAGTCAAGTGTATTATATATGTGTTGATTACCAGAGGCATATGTCACTTGTCACCTTTTATTTTCGCCTTATCCAAAAATAATCATTAAATCTTTTAATATGATCAATATTAATATAATATTTATTATAATTAATTAAGTGTCAAGTTATTCCTAAACCTTGAATAGTAACACACATACTATTTACTCGTAAGAATATAACAATATTCAATTTTTTTTTGTTGCTTTTGGTTTTTGCGGCTTTAATTTGCCATGAACTAAATACTTGGTCATTAAAGCTATTATTTTGAATATTCTTTCAAGTCCTAACTAATTGTTGAGTTAAATAATCTATTCATATATGACAGTGTTTATATGTGTGATATAAATATAGATTAAAGCTAAGTAATAAAGTGAAGTGAGAATAAACACAATAAAATTATTTATGAACAACACTAATGTTTTAAAAATTAAATCACATCCATGAGTCCAGTCAACGTAACCCAATCAGGAATTAGCTCTCGTTCAAAAGAACTGGATTAAAAATTAATAAAAAAACATAAATTTATACATAAAGTAAAAAAGTTTTAAAAACTCGAGGCATAAACTGTAATTTTCACCTATGTAGCTCAACTCCCCTAGTGGTGGCAGAGGAGCCTCTCTATTCTTATCATCATTTTCCATACACTACTGTAACAAATACAAGTTTAAAAGGAGAATCCATCTTAAAAGATTAACTTATTAACAAAGAGAGTTCCTTAAATTTATAAACCCTCCGTGGGTAACTCTTTTCGTGACATTGATCTCTTAATAAAAGATTCAATGTAACAAAAACAGACCCAAAGGGAGAATCTATTCTAAAAGACTAGCCTATTAGGATAAAGAGTCCCTTGAACTTATAAACCCCACACTACTTGTGAGGCTCCTTAATGTGGGACTCGTGACAACTGTTCAACATAACTATTGATATCACTACATTAAATAAATTTGTTTAAGTCATATTTACATATATAGTTATGATTAGGAAAGTGAAGAGAAAAACGTGATAGAAAAAAGGAGACGTTCCTCTCCTATGCACACTACACGCTTAATCTCCCTTCCTTCCACGCCTTTCATCAATTTATTTTGTTTAAATCTTCAAGTAATTTTTTGTTGTAATTATACATTTTAATCTTTACAAAATTTTATACTCCTTTATTTTGACAAATTTTTAATATAATTCAACCTTAAATCTTCTTCTGTTTGGGGTTATAATATGTTGTTGGATCATTCTTCTAATATGATACATTACACCAGTCAAATATTTAAAATACTAATTATTCATTTAGAAAAACTTTAGGGATGAAATTGCCCATTAAATTGATCTCAAAATAACAGTCAACATTGGTCAAATGTTACTATGTGGTGACATTAAATCACTTTTAAAACTTCTAAAGTAACATTGTACTAATTAAAAGTTCAAGATACTGGTTGTACCTGGCAAAAAAATTTTAGGATAAATTCCCTTTAATCCCATATTTCATGCATGAATATATGTATCTGATGGTGCTTGATTTAAATTGAGACATGCGTGTATGATGGCCGTGGTACGTAGCACCTAGAAATCATGTGGATAATTGTTACTATCTTCGCAATAAATGTCATATAATAGCCATTCCCTACGATCTTCGAATTGCCAGGTCTTCGTCACTAGCTAGCTATTTATGCAATTAGAAAACTATATTCTTAAAAAAAAACACACACACACACACAACATTTAATGTGTTTTTCTTGTTTTACCGTTGGAGAAATTGTAATACTCCCTACATGATTTTAATGACAAAATAAATGTGGGAAAATTTAATTTGGTGAAGTTTGTCATATTTTACATATTTATTGCATTTTTTAACCTATGAAAAATAATATTAAATGAAAAATATAATGAAATTAGAGTATTCCTTCCATCCTAATTTATAAAATATTTTTAGACAAAATCATACAAATCAATAGAACTCATTAAATACATTTTATAATTTTATTTATTTCAAAAAGATATAAACAAACTTTTAAAAATATCCTTCTTTTAATACTCCATTTGTAAAAGAATAATAGAGAGAGAGAATAATGAGAAAAGTAATATTGAAAAAAAACATAATTAATAAAACATTATTTTATAATTTGGAATACTAAATCTTTCTCAAAAGTATCTTATAAATTGGGATGAAGGTTGTATTATTTTAGCCTTTAGCTTATTACTCGCTTTGATGTTGCCAGGTCATTATCGAAATGTTCTTTCGGACAAACTTGTTACTTGGTCATCAGAAACTAGCTGCTGTATCAAATAGTTTGTTGTTTCAGGTTAGCTTATAGCAGAAATTGCAATATACTTATGGATAACGAGTCAAAGTTGAATAAGTTTACGTACTGTGGATGTTTCTTGATGGATAAGAACAAGTTCATGGTTTGGTTTCAAATATGAAAAGCTGGGTCAATTCTTTTGAATGTTCATCATTTAAGGGCTGATTATGGGAAGCCATCTAAATTCATTCATTTCTTGGTTAGCACTCACCTTTAGCTGTAGAACAGAAAAAAGTTTGTAAGAATAGATATAGTCACATAATAATTATAAAAATCCAAAACCGACAAATATAGGAAGTCAAAGGCTAAATAAATACACTAAAGCCTTGAAATTGCGATGCAGACAACTTTTTTTTTGGGGAAAAATTGATGAAAAAATTCATTTAAATTATGTAAATGATATAGTAATCCTATAAATAATATAATTTCTCTAGAGCCCCATGAGATGTTTCTTTCATTAGGAAATTAAAAGAAATGACTAAATTGCCTTCAAATAAAACAAAAATCTCAAGCCTCAATGGAGGTTCATTCTTTGCATGTTCTTGCTTCTACTTCGTCTTCTCGTTCTTCTCTTCTTCTCTCCTTCGTGCTCTTCTTATAGTCCGCCTCCTTCTCCTTCTCATCTATTTTATTTCTTTTTGAGTTTCTGTACATAGGTGATTTGTTTTGTTGAGTTATTGTACGTGAGTATATGTAAGCAATCATTCTTCCTTTGTTAGATGTGCTATACGTGGGTAAATTTCTTCTTCTCCTTGAAAATTTCTCCTCCCATAGTGTTAGTTGAAGTTTATGTAGTTTAATATGCGTAAATGATTGGTGTCTTTATTTTTTCTGCTTTATGGGAGTATGGATGCTTACCCATAGATAAATGATAAATGATATATCATTTTCAGTTATATTATAAATGCATAAACCAAAATTGTGAATAATTAATATAAAAGTGTGAATATAAGAAGAATAGTTGTTATTGAATAAAACATAACAAATATGTGATTATGATGTTTGGGAAATAGACATGATGAAGGGGATTTGTTTAAAGTTGGCATGAGACATGGCTTCTTTGGCTTTTAGTTTTGGAAAGAAATCATTTTGTTATTTTCACATAAGGGGACATTTTGTTAAAAATATTGAAAGTACAATACAATATGATAGGGAAGTGTGAGGATAAAAATAATTAGAGAAGGGATGACACTAGAAGATTCAACTCTTCATATATTTTTGTCAAAAGGATTGCAGAGTACATTTTGATATGACTTGTAGATCATGTAATTGACAACAAAACTTTAGATAGTTGTCACTTTTTAAGGTTTTCTTGTCATTTAAATTAATAGAAGTTGTTATTTCTTGGATTAAAGTGGTAATTCATTTTTGCTAATTTAGTCAATTTACAAAGGGTACTAATAAATTATAATTCCTTGTTACATTATTCCAAATCTAGGGACAAAAGTTGTTAATATAGGAACAAAAGTTATAAATGAAAAGTTATAAATTTTTAATATCTGATGCATATTAGGACCTGCATATGCGAAGTTGCAAATGACTATTGAAATATTGTAAATTTACAAACAAAACTTATTAATATAGGAACAAAAATTGTGAATGCAAAGTTGTGAATGTTAAACACTTGATGCATATCAGAACTTGTAGATCAGGACTTGTGAATAGCTATTGATTTATTACAAATTTAGAAATAAAAGCTTTTAATATAGGAAAAAAAGTTGTGAATGAAAAGCTATGAATGTTCAACACCTAATGCATATCAAGACCTGCAGATCAGGACTTGCAAATAATTATTAAATTGTTGCAAATTTAGAAACAAGA